GGGATTCAGGGCTTAAGGCCTCAGAGTTTAGGCCTTCGGTTTAGGGCCCTTTAGGGCCCTGAAGGACCGCACAGCTGCGGTCCACTTGGGGGGCCCGAGATACCCTCAACCCTAAGCCCGAACCCTGAGCGCCCGAACCTCTCTCTAAATCCCAAGCCCCAAGTCCTGCGCCCTTAAACTCTAAACCCTAAACCATACCCTGAACCCTAAACCCGAAACCCAAAACCCAAAACCCTGAACCATGCCCTAAACCCTAAACTTTACACCAAACCCTAACTTTACCCTCAAACCTAAACCCCTCCTATAGAGGCTTCCAGAAGATCATAGGCCCACGCAGCGGCACCCAGAGAGCCCAATACCCCTTAATTAAGGAATATGCCTTAAATTATAGGCGCCTTAGCTATTATGATTTAAGGTATATTCCTTATAGACTAATTAAGGAATAGATACCTTAAATTATAGGGGCCCTTAATATTATGATTTAAGGTATTTTCCTTATAGACTAATTGAGGAATAGATACCTTAAATTATAGGGGCCTCAATATTATGATTTAAGGTATATTCCGTAATTAAGGGATATTGGGCTCTCTGGGCAGGAGACGTTCAAGCCTTGCTGCAACGGCGTGGTGCCCACAAGAGCCTGCAAGATTACGCTCGATCCGCTTCCTGGCTTTTATAAGGTTTAGGGTTTAGAGTTAAAGGTTTAGGATTTAGGGGTTTAGGGTTTTTTTTAATACCGGGGCCTAAATAATTACCTACACAATTTTGGGGGTTCCCTTGGTATAGTTATCGTATAATATACCCCAAAGCCCTATTCTAGTCATTAAGGCCCCTATATTAGGGTTGGGGGTTTTAGGATTTAGGGTTTAGGGCTTAGACTGTAGAGCTAGACTCCGTTCGACCTCAGGGTTAAGGCTGTAGGGTCGGGGGTTAAGCATGCAACTTAGGATTTAGGGACAGTTGAGGGCTCATGGGCTGAGGGTTCAGGGTTTAGGGGTTCGAAGTCATGGCGCTTCTTACGATACAAGCATCTAATTGGAACTGTTGTTCTAAACTCACATAGGTCAAGACTGAAAGTGCCAGTTATGAACTTGTCAATCTTGGCAAGATATATGACCAAAGCCCATTACACTGATTCGAATCTCGATACTAGGGTTTTTTGAGACACCTTGATGCTTTCAGCTCTAATTCCCTCAAGCTCCACGCGAACGCCTGAACCCTAAAGAGGCCCTTAACCCTAAACCCTAAACCCTAAAAGCCCTAAACCCTTAACCCCACTCAAACTTTCAGCATGAGCCGTATTATAACCGAAAGCATGAACGCCCTAAACCCTAATGCCCTGAACTCTAAGCCCCTAAACCTTAGCGCCCTAAACCCTCAAGCCCTGAAACTCAGAACCCGAAGCCGCGGCAGAAGATCCTCCTTTCCGGACTCCCACTTGTCAGCCTTAAACTCAAAAAGCCCTAAAGTAATATCTCCATAGACCCTAAAGTCCTAAACTCCATAAACCCTAAAGTCCCAAACTCCATAAACCCTAAAGTCCTAAGCCCCATAAAACCCCAGAACTTCGACGTTCTCAGTCGAAAGACCGATCCTTGGGGTCTGTAATCCGAAAGCCCTGAGCTAACCTTTACCTGTCGGCCCCCGAAAAGAAAAAAAGGGGTGTCGAGGTTTAGGATCCAGCGTTTAGGCCCCCCGAAACCTATTCAACCCTAAACCCTGAACCCTAAAGCCTAAACCCTAAACCCTAAACCCCTAAACCCGAAACCTTAAACCCTAGTCGATTCTGGCTTTTTTTTCAGGTTCCTTAGTGTGAACTCCTTGGTTGATGATGTGCCCTTAGAAGGTAGGGTCTTCTGCGCTGCGCGGGTAGCTTCCGGACTTTTTGGGTGTAGGAACTCGGCTTCAGAACCCTAAACCCCAAACCCTACGCCCCAAAACCCGAAGCCCCAAACCCAGAACCCTAAACCCTAGCCCCAAATCCTAAAGACCCCAGAAAGCTCTAGGCCCTAAGATCCTAGACCCCTGAACCCTGAACCCGACACCCTGAACCCCAAAACCCTGAACCCGAAACCCGAAACCCTGGCCGCCTCACCTTGAAAAGAAAACCTGAAACCCCCGCAAGTGATCTAAATTAGGGGTACCGTTTAGGGGTCTCTTAATAAGGGTGCCGTACTATACTTGAGATCTAAACAGGGGCCCGAATTTAGAGAACTACCTACCTCCCCACAAGTCCTAGGCTCTGAGCCCTGGGTCTCTACACCCGAAAGCCCAGAGCGTCAGACAGAAAAAAGGTGATTAAGGGTTTAGGGCTTAGGGTTTAGGGATTAGGGTCTAGGGCTTAGGGGTTTAGGGATTAGGGATTAGGGCTCAGGGTTTAGAGGGATTAGGGGTTTAGGGGTTTAGGGGTTTAGGGTTTAGGGGTTTAGGGTTTTAGGGTTTAGGGGTTCAGGGTTTAGGGCTTTAGGGTTTTTAGGGGTTTCGGGTTTAGAGTTTAGGGTTGAGGGGTTTAGGGTGCTGAAAAACAAAAACTGCCCCGAGAGCGCCGTCTTTCCCATTCGAAGGAGTCTCTGGTTCTTAGTAGGGAATGGGGGAATGGATCCCTTTAGGTCTCCTATAGCACTCTGAGAACCCAATACACATTAAGTTGGGGAATATATACCTTAAATCATAATATGAAGGGCCCTATAGCTTAAGGTATATTCCTTAATTAAAGTGTATTGGGTTCTCTGGGTCCCAATAATTCCCTACTACCCCCAAACCCTATAAACCCTAAACCCCAAACCCCTAAACCCTAAAACCCTAAACCCTAAACCCTAAAACCCTAAACCCTAAACAAACCCGAAACCCCTAAACCCTAATCCATTCCCTCATTCCCTACTAAGAGCCCAGTCGAAGGAGTCCGACCTGGAGCCTCCCTATGATAGTCCCTTTAGGTCTCCTATAGCAGTCCCAAACCTTAAACCCTAAACCCCTAAAGCCCTAAACCCATAAACCCCTAAACCCCTAAACCCCTAAAGCCCTAACCCCTTAAACCCCTAAGCCCTAAACCCCTAAACCCTAAACCCCAAAACCCTAAACCCCTAAAACCTAAACCCTAAACCCCTAAACCCGAAACCCTAAACCCTACTAAGAACCAGTCAGAGGAGTGCGACCCGGAGCCGAACCCTCCCCAGTGGCCGCCTTCTGTGCCTCCCGGCCTTCCTTAGGGCCCTTTTGGGGGTTTAGGGTTTAGGGTTTGTTCGATGTCGAGTTTGTAGGGGTTTAATAAACCCTAAACGCTAATCAGGGTCTTTAGGGGTTGGGGGCGGCTTTTGGTTTTGGGCCTCCTTCGGTTTTTGAAAGGTTGGGAGCTTTAGTGGGGGGTTTTGGGGCTTGGGGGTTCTTTGGGGTTTGGGGTTTTTGTGGGGTTTGGGGGTTTAGGGTACTTACAGGGTTCATCGCCTCAAGCGGCTTGGGATTTCTGGCTCAGAGATTTCTGGCTCAGAGGTCGGTGTTGAAAGTTAGCGTCTGCAGCTGTTCGGATCTGGCCAGTCCTCTAAATTAGGGTCCTGTTTGGGTCCATAGTACGGCACCCGAATAAGAGGGGCCCTAAACGGGACCCGAATTCAGACAAGTACCCATCTAGGCTTGATCAGTACACCCGCAGCCCTAAACCTGGATAGTTTGCACCTGCAGCTGTCCTAGAAAGGCTTAAGCTTGTGAGTCGAGCTGGCAGCCTGTAACGTTTCTTAAGTAGGGGTAGCAGGGCCCCCAATGTGAAGAGTCTTTGGTTAAGGTTCAGGGTCTAGGGTTTGGGGTCTAGGGTTTCGGGTTTAGCGCCTTTTTGGGTACTCTGGGAGAGGGCAAGTAGGCAAAGACATCCACGTGCAAACCTTAACCTTGAAGTCCAAATCCTGAACCCTAAAGCCTTCAAAGCTTTAGGGTTCTTGGGGTTCTTGGGGTTCTTAGGGTTTAGGGTTTCAGGGCTTTCAGGGCTTTTAGGTTTTTAGGTTTTTGGGGTTTAGGGTTTCAGGGTTTTTGGGGTTGTTAGGGTTTTAGGGCTTCGAGTTTTCGGGTTTTAGGGTTTTAGGCTTTAGAGCTTAGGGTTTTGCTATACCCTAAAAGCCAAAGCCTTAGGGACCCTAAAACCCCAACGCCCGAAGCACCCGAAGCACCGAGCCCTCTAAGACCCTAACCCAAAACCCTAAACCTTAAAAGCCCTATAAACCCCATAAGCCCTATGAGCCCTATAAACACTATAAACACTATAAACCCTAAACCTTAAAGCCCCGAACTCAGAACCCAAGGTATATCTTCGGCCCGGAGACGGGGAATATCAGCTGCACAGCGCAGGCCTCAGTGTCTTTTGCTAGAGGCCCCCGTAAGGGTGAGATAGAAAGCCAACCGCAAGGACCCCAAACCCTAAACCCTAAACCATAAACCCTAAGCCCTATAAACCCTAAACCCTACAAGTATTGAGTCGGATCTCTTTAGCTTATCTCGATGATTTTAGCTGGCACTTCAGGTCTTTTCGAGTCTTGTTTATTCCCTAAAACATGGTCGTTATCCTAGCAGAGCAAAAGCCCTCAACCCTGAACCCCTACAACCTAGACTCTAAATCCACAGCTCCAGGGTCTAAGCCCTAAGCCCTACGGCCCAAAGCCTGAAACGCTAAACCCCTAAACGTTGAACGATGGGTTTATAGGGGTTAGGGCTTAGGGTTTTAGGGTTTTGAGTTCTAGGGCTTTAGGGTTTTAGGGTTTAGGGTTTCGGGGTTTTAGGGTTTAGGGTTTAGGTACATTTCAGTTACCCAGAGAACCCAATACCCCTCAATTACGGAATATACCTTAAATCATAAGATTAAGGCCCCTATAATCTAGGGTCTATTCCTTAATTAAGGTGTATTGGGTTCTCTGGGTCCCAATAACCGGTTTTAGGGTTTAGGGTTTATAGGGTTCTAGGGTTTAGGGTTCTAGGGTTTGAGGGTACATTTCAGGTACTCTTCAACGAGAGCTCAGGTGCAGGCGCTCTTCACGCAGCTAGGGCCCCTCTCGACGGGGAAGTTTAGCTCGCTACGGGTGGCGCTGCTTTTCAAGCCCCTGAGCTGTCAGTGCTTTTTTCTCGGGCTTTAGGGTTTTAGGCTTTCAGGGCTTTAGGTTTTAGGGCTTTAGGGTTGGGCTTCCACTTTTTCTTCTTCAGGATTTGGGTTTCAAGAAGGTTTTGTAACAGATTGCTATAAGTGTTTCGATCTTGGGTTAGTATCATGGTTTCTGCCTGGGTTTAGAGTTTAGGGTTTCTGTGCGTCTTGTTTGGGGGCTTCTTGGGGCTTCGCGTTTAGGGTTTAGGGTTGCACCGTCAAGGCAGGGCGTCGGCTTTAGTGTTTGGGGTCCAGCGCCCTCTGTGAACAGTTTTTGAGACGGTGGGCTTCAGATGGGTTTGGTCAAAGGCCTTCAAATCGGGTTTAGAAGTTTAGGGTTTCCCTGCAAAGGTTTTTAAGGCTACTTTGGGCCCTTTAGGGCTCACAGTTTGTGCGGAAACCGAAGCCTTAATCCCCAAGCCGTGAACCCTGAGCCCTAAAGCCGAAACCCGAAAGGCTGTGGATTCAGAGATTGAAGTCGACAGCCCCCTAAACCCTCGGCCAGAAACCCCCGGAAAACCGAAGCACGCCAGTCTGCGCCAAATCCCGAAGGCTGACTCCAAGATCTGACAGCAGAATCCTGAACCTAAGCCTCCTTTCCTAAGCCCAAAGCTATGAATACGGTTTAGGGTTTAGGTTTTAGGGTAATTGCCTTAACAGTCTAACCCTTAGGGTTTAGGGTTTAGGATTTAGGGTTATCCCTAAACTCGGAACAATGCACCCCATCTGAATTAAAGTTGCGTGCCTTCGGCATCTCGAATCCCAGGCCGGGCAACTACAGCTTGGACGTGCCCGTGGGTTTCTACACTCAGGTCGCAGCGCTGTTGGTGCTACGTTTTGTTTGCTGTTGTTCCTGTATTCACCGTGGGTTTTGGGTTCAGTTACTGTTACTCCCTTAAAAATTACTGCCAGTCTCGTTCTTCTCCTTCTGTTTTTTCTTCCGCTCATCGGCGTGTAGTTCGTACTATTCAATCGCTTTAAGTGCGGCTTTTCCGCCCTCCGTTTCGGATGAGCATGGGCTCTATTGCCGGTCCATGACCCTACAACCGTCCCGTAACTTCGAACCCTAATGTAGGGCCTTAATCATTAAGATAGGGTTTTGGGGGTTCCTTCTTCTAATTATAGTATAATATACCACCAAACGCCAATCTAATTTTTGAGGCTCTATATTAAACGCTCTAGGGTTTGAGGTTTGGGTCTAGGGCTTCGATGCAGTGGAAGCCCGACACTGCTTCAAGTCCTAAAGCCCTCGCGCTCTACACCACGGCTTTGTGTTTACCTGTATCCCCAAACCCTATCAAAAAATGTAGGTTATCGACCCCTTAACTTTTAGGTACAACTAAACCCCCCCCCAAAAAAAAAAAAAAAAACAGCAGGTTTTGGATCCCCGGATAGGGCTTAGGGTTCACCTTAACCCCAAACATCCTACCTCTTTAAGGACTTACATAAGCAAAAGTCATAATAAAGAACCTTAAAAACGGCCCAGAGTCAAAACCAGCCCGAACATCGAGAGGCCTGAACCCTCTACCCTTTACCCCACACGTCCTTAACCTCCTTAAGCCGAAAACCCTGGCTAAACCCTGAACCCTAAACCCTAAACCCCAAACCGAAACCCCAAACCTAAACCCTAAACCCTAAACCCTAAACATCTTAACCCAAAGCCCTATCATTAAACTACCCTAAACTCCCATTAAACTACCCTAAACTCTCATTAAACTACCCTAAACTCTCATTAAACTACCCTAAGCTCCAAACCACCCCTGATCCCCAAAGTCCACAAACAACCCTTCCTGGGCCCGGCAGGTGCTGGGACTTGGCGAGAGCCCAGAAGAGGTGACGTTCACTGGCCGCCGTGGGGTGTATGGGCCCAGCGAGGCCTCGTTTTGGGAGGGGGTTTCCGTACCCAGAGAACCCAATACCCCCTAAGTAAGGAATAGACCTTAAACCATAATATTGAAGGCCCCTAGAATTGAAGGGTATAATTCCTTAACTAAGGTCTATCTGGGTTCTCTGGGCTAAAGGATGTGTGTTTTTCAGGTGTTCATGGGAATTTGGAGGGCTTGGGTGGAGGATTTTCTAGGGTTTAGAGGAGCTTCGGCGTTTGGCATTTAGGACTTTCTAGGGTTTCGGTTGGGTCTTTTTTAGCTTGTTTTGGTTGGGGTCAGGACTTAATGGGTTTAGCCCTAAACCCCAAACCCTAAACCCTACAACCTTAAACCCCAAACCCTAAACCCTACAACCTTAAACCCCAAACCCTAACCCCAAACAGCCCTCGAAGGCTCTAGGTATTGCTGGAGTTCTCAGGATCTTGAGGCTCATCGGGTGTTGATGCGGCTCTTAGGGTTTATGAGGTCTGTAGGGTCTTTCGGGCCTTCGGGTCTCTAGGGTTTAGGGTTTAGGGTTGTTTAGGGGCTTTAAGGACTGATGGGGTGTTCAGGTTTGTCAGCTCTTTCCTGAGGATTATTTGGGTTTGGGGTTTCTGGTGTTCTTGGGGCTCCTGGGGTTTAGGGTTTTAGGGTTTAGGGTTTAGGGTTTAGGGTTTAGGGTTTAGGGTTTAGGGTTCAGGGTTTAGGGTTTTCGAATTATCCAGGAGCTGGCAAGGCACATGTTGCGGGTGTTCGGGGCGCAGGGATATAGAGCGGCCTGCCCGGATCTGGGAGATAGTCTTAGCCCTGAACCCTAAACCCTAAACCCGAAGCCCTAGGCCCAAAACCCTAAACCCTAAGCCCTAAGCCCTAAACCCCGAGCCCTAAGCCCTAAACCCTAAGCCCTAATAATCCCTATAAGCCCTATATGCCCTATAAGCCCTATAAGCCCTAAGCCGATCGCAACCAGCAGTTGCGCAACACCTACCACTTCTCTTAAACCAGCCCCCCAAAAGCCTTAAATTGCCGACCATGAAGCCTAAATCTGCCGCACATGGATCTCCTCACCCTGCTTCCCGAAGTTTAGTTTAGGGTTCGGGGTTTAGGGTTTAGGGTTTGGGGTTTGGGGTTTAGGGTTTAGGGTTTAGGGTTTAGTTCGTAGGGTTTGGGTTTAGGGTTTTAGCAGTTTAGGGTTTAGTTCGTAGGGTTTGGGTTTAGGGTTTAGGGTTTAGGGTTTAGTTCATAGGGTTTGGGTTTCGGGTTTTAGGAGTTTAGGGTTTAGTTCGTAGGGTTTGGGTTTAGGCCGTTTAGGCTTTCTGGTTTAGGGTTTGGGGTTGCGGGTTGCCCGAAATCTGCGGCCTAAATGTAGCCTGGATTTAGGGTTTAGAGTTTGGTGTTTAGGGTTGAGGGCCTTTCAAAACCCCCTGCACAGGCAGACAACGTGAACTTCAACACGTTCTGGAAGGCGGAGAAAATCCTTCTTAAACCCCAAACCCTAAACCCTGAACCCTAAACCCTAAACCATAATCGCACAACCCGGACAGTGCCAGCGCTGAACTGCAACGCCGGGTGAAGCTCCAAGAAACCGAGAGCACCGAACGCTCCGATGCCGAAGCGCGTCATGTGAACAGTGACTCCATTGAGCGTAGTATCACTAAGTTAGGCATGATACTGATATCCCCTAAAGCCCACACCCAAAACCCCAAACCCGAAACCCTAAACCCTAAACCCTGAATCCTAAACCCTATAAGCCCTCTTGAGGCCGTCGAAAACGTCGCGAATCGCCCCACTTCGCAACGTACGACCTGGTCGGTGTCACAAGCCGCGCCCATGCGACGGGTGAAGGCCAGGGTTCCGGCTACCCAGAGAACCCAATAATTAAGGAATATACCTGCAATTATAGGGGCCTTAGTATCATGAGTTTGAAAGTATATTCCTTAATTAAGGGGTGTTGATTGGGTTTAGGGTTTAGGGTTCAGGTTTTAGGGGTTTCAGAGAACCCAATACCCCTTAATTGAGGAATATACCTTAAGTCATGATATTAAGGCCCCTATAATTTAAGGTATATTCCTTAATTAAGCTGTATTGGGTTCCGGCTGTGCAAGGGTTCGGGGGTTTTATCGGTTAAAACCCTTAGGGTTTAGCGGCTGAGGGGTTTAGGGGTCTAGGGGTTTAGGGGCTTGGGGTTTAGGGGTTTGGGGTTTAGGGGTTTAGGGTTTAGGGGCTTAGGGGTTTAGGAGCTTAGGGTTTCGGGGTTTAGGGGTTTTGGGGGTGGGGTTAGGGGTTTGGGGTTTAAGGGTTTAGGGCAAGCCCGATACCCTTTTACAGGTTCATGTATAGACATCAGACGAAACAGCTCTAAAAGCAAGGCTTCAAGCTTTTGGGGGTGTGGGCTTGGGTGACCTGCGGGAGTGTAGGGTTAGGGCGTAGCTTGGGGTTTGGGTTTACGACTTAGAGTTTAGGGTTCAGGTGTATTTAGATTCTAAACCTGAAGCGTAAGCCCTAAGCCCTCAGCCCTAAAAACCCTGAACCCTCAGCCCTAAGCCCTAAATCCTAAACCCCCTAAGGACTTCCGAGGTTCCCTGGAGTCCTTAGGCGAGTCAAGCCAACGCCGCTTACCCGCCATTTTGTATCTTGTCATCTAAGCTGCGGAATGTGGGGTCGGAGTAGTGGGTTTAGGGTTTAGGGTTTAAGTATTCCTCGGGGCTCGTGATGGTAATCATAGCATAAAGATACCCCGAAAACCCTAAACCCCAAAGCCCCAAAAGCCCTATTCTAAGTGTTGAGGCCCTTATAGTAGAAACTCCGGCAAGAAGAGACAAGCTGGCAACGGTTAACCAGAAGTCTAATCTCCGAATCACCAATCCCCGAGCCCCCCTAAACCCCTGAACTCTAAGCCCTAAACCCTCAGCGACTTAACCCCGATTCCTTGTCGGGCTAGGGTTGTAAGGCTTGAGGAATTAAGGGTTTAGGCTGGATGGCAGTGGAAGGTATTATTAAGCTCAGTCTTCGAAGATTCAGGATTTGCGTGAAGGGTTCGGGTTTGAACACCCTTCCAAATCACATGCTAGATAGGCGTAGTTCTCTAAATTAGGGTCCCATTTTAGGTCCCAAATATCGTACGGCACCCTTTCAAAACGCACTCTAAAAGGGACCCTAATTTAGAACACTGCCCCCAATGGACCAGTTCAAGAGATAACCAGAACCTAATATCTGCCTTCTAACAGGCACACTCTCCCTTCGAACCCAGAACCCCCAAACCCTCAACCCGAAGCCCTAAACCCTATAGACCCTATGAGCCCTATAAGCCTATAAGCCCTATAAACCCCATAAACCCTATAAGCCCTATAAGCCCTAAACCCGAAAGCCCTAAACCCTAAACCCTCCCAAAAAAGGGCACAGCTTATCCACTTGTCCTCAGCGCGGCCCTAAACCTTGTAAACCCTAAGCCCTAAACCCGAAAACCTAAACCCTAAACCCATAAACCCTCAACCCTCAACCCTAAACCCTAAACCCAAAGCCCGAAACCCCTAAACCCTCAATCCTAAAC